GGAATTTGGGAAGAAATAAAATGCATTTCATAGGGCCCTACACAGGTAAGCACCGCAGCTGCCATCAGACCTAACAGTCTCTGAAACTGTTTGACAGTGAATGACTGTTCTTCTCTCATTCTATTTACAGCTGTGAGGATTCATTCGCTACGAGCAGGAGACAGACATGCCTGCATCGTCGTCGTCTGACCTGATCTGAGACACGGTCTGTTTGATAGTGAGCATCTTGAAGCGAAAGGGTTTGATAGCGTGGTTCAGCAGATGCAGATCTATGATCAGATGCAACTCCCCAACCTTCTTCGGAACGATGAAGTATCGGCTGCAGAACCTGGACTCTCTCGAGAGAGAGGAGGAACATGCTCTATGGCCTCCTTTCTCAAGAGAGTGTCTACTTCTTGTTCCACAACCACAGACTGCTCAGGGCCCACTAGTGTGGGGACAACCCCATTGAAACGAGGCAGGTGAGAACCAAACTGGATTCTGTAGCCTCTACAGTCTGCAGCCGCTCGAGGCTGGCCTCTGGTGTGGCTAGAGCAGTCACTCTGGGGCCCTGAAGCAGATGACTGGCATGTAACAACCGATCTGACAACTCTAACTCCCCCACTGGAGGGCATGAGCATTCTCGTGCAGTACCGTTGCCAGGCGGCATCTGAGAACAGCGCTTGCTGAAGACCGCTGTGCCCTAAAGCACCGGAGGTAGCAGGGTTCACAGAGCGCCCCCCTGAGGGCACTGAGGAGGATCGGGCACCGTATACTGAGGTGTGAACCTCTCCTCCCCGAGGGGTCTACAAGTAGCAACACTTTGTTTATGGGCCTGGCGATATGAGGAGCTAGAGAATGGCTGGGGCTGCTTCCGCTCAGCAGCCCTGGGGACCTGAGAACATCGAGGGCGGTAGCGCTAAAACACTGCCGCCTGCTTCCTCGCCTCCTGAAACCTCTCGACAACAGTGTGTACTGCGTCACAAAAGAAAGCGAGAACAGAACGTCCAGCAGGAAGAATCTGTCCTTGTCATGCAACTCAAACAGATTCAACCGCAGATGTCTCTCCGTAGCAACCAGTGCCAATGGCTCTGGCCGTTTTCCTTGGTAGCGTGGAGAGAGATCCATGGCCCAACGCCCGACAGATCTCTCTCTCCGTGCTATCTGCCTCCTCGCTCTCACCCAGGTCCTTAAGCAGGTCGGCCTGGTATGCCTGTAACACCGCCATGGTGTGCAGACACGCACTGGCCTGACCTGCCGCCCTATAAGCTTTACCCACCAAGGCCAACGTTGCTCTAACTGGCTTGGTAGGAAGCCTCTGGGCCTTCAGAGATGATCCCAAGATGGGGGAAAGATAGCTTGCAAACGTCTGCTCCAACTTCAGCATGGTCCTATATACCTGCTCATTCAGCCCCATAATGTTGGAATAATTAGAAACTGTCGGGCTGAAAAATCGGGATGAATATAGGGTTTATTCCACGACCTCGACTCCTCTGTGTGAAAGTCGGGAAAAATGGAAGGCATGGAGGTTGTGATCTAACATGCATTCATTTAATTTACTTTTCTGATTAACTTTTCTGAAAAGCAAGCGTCAGGGTTGGAGGCTGGGATCATGTGACAAGAGTGATGCGAGAAGACTGACACTATGATGACGGATCCAAAAGCAACTTTTGTTAATAAAACTTTCATTTCTCCATTTAATATAAGTGAGTGTCTTTATTGTTGCTGGGTTTTCAATAAAAAAAATAACAATGAACCACAAACTAAGCATTGGTTTTAATTTTAAATAATGGAAAATACCTTATTTGGGTTACAAGGCAAGGTATATCCATCTTATTAATTTTATTAATAAAAGATGTTTAAATATATGTGAATTTGCCATAGTACTATTTTATGGCTGATGTGTTTTAATTAATAAGATAATATTTATTTAATAAACCACAAACTACGATCATTTTAAGGTAGTCTAAGGGGAAATCCATAGGCTATTTATTTGTGTTAAACGCGGGTAAAACATATCCTTATTCATTTAGTTAATAAAAGATCAAAGTTTAATATAGGTGAATATGTCATTTGACTATTTTATTGTATAGGCCAAGATTTTTTTTATTATTATTTTTTTTTACAGCGCGGGTACATCAGTCTTATTCGTTCTGTTCATAAACTTTTATGTTTAATATAAGCGAGTCAACAACTTTGTCATTGTAGCATTGTAGCACATGTAGCATTGCTGATGTTGTGTGTTTTTTTTTCATTAAGAGTACTATTGAATCAACCTTAAGCATTAATTTTGTTTCAAGAATAGGAAAGATCTAACGTTAAAGATCAACATAAGCGCTACAGATGTGAGAATGTGAGATTTGTTGCTGCTGAGGTAAACGCTCTCACTCTTTCTCTGCTGTCTCTTTGCTATGTCTGTAGAAATAATAGTTAATTCTTAATTTGGGTACGGCACAAACATGTTACAGGTAATAATATAATCAAAAAATCATGGCAACAAATGATTTTTTAAGTCAGTTTAATAAGTTGAAACGACTTTCACAGATTCAACTTAACTCATGTTTAATCGTTGCTTCTTGTCGGCTTAGGCTACTTTTTCAATGAATTTTAATGAATATACAAATTAATAAAATTAATTTTATTTATTTTTTGTAACAAATTGTTCATTAATTTATTTTTAACACCGCACCCCCAGCACCCCCATTTTTTCGTGGGCTACACGCCAGGGCACCCCTACTTCCCGCGGTAATGTGTACTGCTGTTTGTATTTAAAAAAGCCTTCAGTTTTAGCTCTTTAATGAGATATGTACACTTCAGTTTCAATCTTACAGTTTGTGTAAAGTTGACATTTTTAACAAGCAAACAGCTGAAAGTATTTCATCACTTCTGTTCCTGTCTCATCTACAGGGGTGCAGAGCTGCTAAAACCTCTGTGAATAACAGCAGCCACGGCTGGCCCTTTCCCGGTCTGCGCTGGGTCACAGGGAAGGACCGTCTGTCAGGACTCAACTTGTTTCCTCTCACTGGTGGACATGGCCGAAGCTCCAGCCCGGAGAAAGACGCAGAGGAGATGGAAGAGCCGTCTGATGATGTAAGACCAGCATGTTTATGTCTGTTTCAGAGGTACGCTTTACCATCTTTGGCTTGAGCAAATGAAAATGTTATCATTATTTACTCATCCTCATGTCATTACACACCATTATGCTGTTATTTTCTCTACCCCTTGACATTTTCCCCCCTAAAAGTCATGGGTACCTCTCACAAACAAGCACTGTGGCGGTACCTTGGTACAGTCGTGTTATAGTAATGCCATGGTACTTTGATATATATTATGATACTGAGTGAATTTACATCAAAGAAAAATATAGCAATACCATGTCAACTGAAAACACTTTTCTCCATCAGTACAGCTTAGGTCATTTCTCAGAGCTGGAGGGAGCAGGACGCAGACCTAAGCCTCAATGGGGAGAAAATGGCCATGACAGGAAGCTTCAGAGATACAAAACTCAGCGCCTGGTGACACATCTCCACAGAGACACGGCCCACGACCCAGAGTGCCACACCAGCTCGGAGAGGCTCAGCCATCCGGCTGTGTCAGAGCGACCCTGTTCCCAAAAATCAGTCGTTTCACATGTGCCATTAAGAGTAAGAACACAGACAGCTAATCAGCCGCAAATTCGTCAAGCACCTAGAGATTTCGAGGGGGCTTCAGTGACAGTTCTGATACTCTAGTGGTGTAATTTTTTTAGTATGCATAGGGGCCAGGTTCAAATCCTGATATAATGAGAATGTTAAAACTGCAGCCAGCAATCACCCTGCATTTTCATTGATAGAAAACAGTGGAATTGACTTTTTGATAACAATGGCAAAAACTCAACCCCAAATAACAAGAACTATGCTTGCTTATAAATTAACCTTTCACTGTAATAATTACTGCAATGTCTTCAAAATCCAATTATATAATTTAGAATTTTGAACTGAAGTGAGCGCATATATTACTAAAGCCAATTCTAGATTATTAAGAATAAGAATTCAGTCTGCCACTTATTCTTATAACATATAACATTTAAATCAAATGAAAAATTGTGTGTTTGATTGGTCCAGACGTTACACATAACTTGACACAGCAAAGGCTCAGCTTTGTATCTGCGATACAGACTCCATTGTGCATCATTTTTTATAAAGATTTTAATTGATATATAATATATATCTCATTAAATGCTAAAATTCTTCAGTTCTTCTATTTAAAACCAAATAGTATTGATTCCATTTTCCCTACAGATGTAATAAAAGTTTGTTTTCTGACAGCCAGTCTCTTACCTTACCAAGCTCCTCACCTAATTTCTCCTGTATTCTACTGAATGCACATGATTTTGATCTGTCCTGCTCACACAGAAGTATAATTTACATGAAAACTTTCTGGTGTGTATGTGAGCAATAAGTTAATGTTAACTTCAGATGGATTAAATATGTATGCTGTTAAATGTACGGATTTTTACAATGATTTAATTTGACATTCCAACTATTTCTATCTGTTCTGCATTATTAATAAAGATGGGATTATTGATTATTGAAAACATAATTTACTCATGCTGGACTGAACTGAGTGCCTGGCATGCATATAATCAAATTTGCATACTATTACAGTTCATTTTTGTGTCCTTTGTCTCTGATCTCTTGTAAAAACAAGCATAAAGAGCAGCTTCAAATTGCACATAATGTATTTTAGAGTGGCGTGAGGCTCTTGAAAATGAATGAACTTTTAAACTAGACTCAGTGGTTTCAACTAAATGACTTTGTAATTTATATGTCGGATTTTCGTTAGACTCTGATTGTATTAGTATAAGGTGAGGTAGGTGATTCTGCCCTAATTCATTTTGTAATATAGCTCCACTGGAGTTTGACTCTTGGGGTGACGGTGTTTTCTGTCCCTCCAGCTACAGATCAAAGTGAACGGACAGAGAGGAGGACTGGGAATTTGTATTGCAGGAGGGAAAGGCTCCTTGCCGTACAAAGAGAATGATGAGGTAGGCCTTATCTTCCTGTAGCTCCACTGCTTGAATCTCATTATACATCATTACTATCATGCTCCTGTGGGTCTATTTACAATAAAATATAAACATGGATGGACTGGAATACTAACGTGCATCCCGCCAGCAATTCGACCGATGATATGAGTGCGCCTAATTTCCTTCCCCCGTGACTAGTCATTTCCTTCTGGACACTGATTGATTTGTTTTCTTCGTGTCAGGGTATTTTAATCTCCAGAGTGTCTAAAGGCGGACAGGCGGAGAAGGCCGGGGTTCATGTTGGGGACAGAGCGTTGGAGGTAAATCATAATGTACATGTACTGTTTCACAATACATTGATTTATGGCTAATTGGGAAGCATGGGTACAACTGGGAATACTTGCCTTCAAAGATAAAATTATTAGCTATTGATTTTGTGTGTGTGCCCTGTTATTCCCTATGGAATAGGAATTGGGAACCAAATTTCTCTACAAGGATAGCAACATTTATTTGTCCTCATGAGGAAACAAGCTTAAAAATCGTACAGAATTAAGCTGCCATGTACATAATTTGGTTACATTCTACCAAGTGACACATGAATTTGAGCATTGTACTGCATATGTATGTCTCCTGCTGCGGGACCTTATCAGAATGGATGTAGTTGTTTCTCTGATGGCCATTAGAGGGCATCATCACACAGTTGCTGATGAACAGTTTTTTGTGACCCCCCATGAGCCTTAATGCAACAGGCCAAGCAGCATTGTGGGGGGAAAAGCATTTGGATATGCAAGTCACACTTACAGTTGTATTGATGTCATTGCATTAAAGCAAGACAGCACAAGCACATTTTTCTTCAAACATAATATTTCACTAAAAGAAGTTTGTTACATGTCAGTTTGAGGTATTTTCGCTTATCCTAAGTTTATATGCAGTGGCAGCTAGAAGTCAAAAGCCATTCATAGGTTTATTTCCTTTAAAGGTGTTAACGCTGTGGCTCTGTGTTGCTTTCAACACACAATCCCAAAACATTCAGCGGAGTCTAGTGACTATCCTGAGCTGTAACATCAAAGGCAGCAGTCAAGGGAAGGAAAATAGACATAAGTCTTTTTCACACTGTTTAGGGCTCACTAAAATTGAGGTACTGGTAAAAACATCTACTATAATTGAAGAAGATTTTTTTTTGGATTTATATGTTGCTTGCAAAAGGGGCCGACTGCAGCTGACCAGCAAACCCTTGACCTACTGGGACAAATGCCAGATGAACAAATCTTTGGAAAACCTGTTTGAAAACAGTCATTTTCTCTGCAATTTTGTTTGGTTACACTCATGGTGCGGAAATGACATCTTTCTCCTTGAAGATCCCAGGTCATTTCCTCACATAAATGGTTGGCATTTTCTCATACCTTGGCTTCTGTGGTCTTTCTGTCAGCTTTCTGCCTCTTTCCTTCAAATCACTGCAGCTCATTTTTCATTTGTGGCACCAGGTCAATGGCCAAGACATGCAGGAGGTCAGCCACCATGAGGCTGTCGGCATCCTGAGGAATGCTGGGAGCTGCATAAAAATGAAAGTGCTGCGGGAGAGATGCGTGCCCGTGGAGCCGTGGCTGCATGAGAGGTCTGACACCATGGAGACAGCAGACCCCCAGGTCAGCCAAGAGTGGGATGTTACTATGAGCAATAACAGATCGAGTGGCCCACAGTCCTCCACTGATCCCATGCTGGACTGCAGCCCAATAACTAACAGGATGGAAGCTACCGTCTGCAATGGAAATGGACTGGTAGGCTCTAGGTCAAGAGTGTCGAGATTATAAAAATTATAAAATGGTCCTATTATATGCCACAGGAGTAAAAACAATCAAATGATGAGAAATGGCATTGGAATTAGTCATACCCATTGTAATGCATTATTATTCAAATCAATATGAACAGTTTTGGAATCGTAATGCTTATTTTCCAGTTTCCCTCCTGATAATTTTCATGTTATTTTGCCAGAATGATCCAGTGCAGGACTTACGGCTGACAAAAGACATGGAGACCTTCAAAAACAATGTCCTACAGGTTGTGAAAAATACTATGACAGTATGTGTGACGGATAGAATGTGTTTCTGTGTGGGTGTGTGTGTTTTAACAATGAAATCTCAGGAACGCTTTTTATCAGTGTTCTGTCCTTCATTCTGAGGCAATGCATACCTCTATACAAAACATTCCTGTCCAGTTGTCCTTTTCTCATTGAGTCTCGGCGAAGAAAAGTCCCTCTAAAGCAAATTACAATAGACTATCTCAAAGAAAAAAAAATATACAGGAACAGAAATTGTAACCAATTCCAAACAAATGTTTACAATGAACTAAATGTATTATCTACACTTGTGTATGCAGAGAGGAAATTCATCTGAGTATCTCAGATTATCTATGAAAGATATCAGATCTCATCTTGTTTTCCAGAACAATTACAGTTGTGCTTCTCTGAATTTATGTTGTTTTAAATTCGGTATGAAACAGAGCCGAGAGAAACAGCTTCTCAAATAAGAAAAATGTAGGGCAGGACTTGATTTTGTCCATTGGGAATTGATTGGATCGCTGGACTGTTGTTATTTGCTGATTTGCTGCGATGTAAGTGACAGGCTGCTGGAGGGAATTTAAAAATAATAATAATGATGAGCACAGGTAAAGCATTTATAATAAATAATGCAATATATAAAATAAGAATAGTCAATTTTGATTTCATTGTGACTAAGGATATTTAGTTCATTATATGGGTAAAAATGAATTACATAATTTAGTGGAAAGCAAATTTTTATGCAGCCCCTAATGAAAGAAAAATATATTTCAGTGCTTTTGTGTTCACTCACAACTTGGCATGTATAAAACGCAAAACTGGTGGTGGAAATAACTATGAGGAAAATATGAGGAAAAACTTACACTTCAATGCTGTCGTAATGCAGTTTCAACTCTTTTGTGAGAGAACGCAAAAGCATTTAAATATAAGTTTTCCTCCCATCTTATTTTTTTTTCATCTCTATGTCACCTTGGGGGCTCCGTAGATGTTTCTACCTGATATGTGCACCCTTGACAACTCTATGAAATGTGCTAATGACCTTAATAAGTTCCTCCCTATATGCTGAAGTGTAAGCCATTGTAAAAACGTGACTTTTTTTCTCTAGTAAAAATACTGAAAAATGTATTCACCTGAGTAGCAAACTTGCGTGAGATATTAAATTGTACTTAAAGGCATAGTTCACGCCAAAATGAAAATTCTGTCATTAATTACTCAGCCTCATGTCGTTCCAAACCCGTAAGACATTAGTTCATCTTAAGTTCATCTTCGGAACACAAATGAAGATATTTTTGATGAAATGTGAGAGCTCTCAGACCCTGCATAGACAGCAACGCAACTGTAATGTTCCCAGGTCCAGAAACGTAGTAAGGACATCGGTAAAACAGTCCATGTGACATCAGTGGCTCAACTTCAGTTTTGCGAAGCTATTTATTTAACAATTCTTCTCCCCCGTGTTACGTCTTCCGCCATTTTAGAGTATCACAACACATACGCACGCTTTCCCCTAAGCGTAAACAATGCTGATTGCGCAGATTACGTTCATGCGGAAATTACAGTCGCCTTGCTGTCTATGCAGGGTCTGAGAGCTCTCACATTTCATCAAAAATATCTTAATTTGTGTTCCGAAGATGAACGAAGGTCTTACGGGTTTGGAACGACATGAGGCTGAGTAATTAATGACAGAATTTTCATTTTGGGGTGAACTAACCCTTTAACTATGTTTAGCGCCTATCACTACAAACGCAAGTATTGGGCATTAGCAAAGTTTTCAATAGAACAGTTTCCTTTGTATGGAACTGTTGGTGTAGAGATCTGATTTTATCAAGTCTGTCTGGGATTACATGAAGAGACACAAAAAACTGAGGTATATTAAATGCATAAGAATGTGGGAACATCTCATCTGCTCAGCTGTTTTAATGGCAAGAGGTGCTCACACCAAATGTTGATTTCATAGAAGTTAACTGAAAAGTAGAAAGGCGGAAAAATATTTTTTGTTTTGTTTTAGCTAATAAGAGGATCTCATAGTCGTATCAGGAAAGATTAAACTAAGTGGCTCATTTTAAATCTTGACAGCTCTGTGAAATCGGTGACTTGTTTTTTCCCTCTCTTCTCACTTCATTGTGACCCTTTAACAGATACCTCGGATTATTCTGACTCACCCCTCTACCTCAGATGAGGACGTGGAGCCCCTGACGCAAGGCCCAGATGATGGAGATTTCGATTCTGACTTCAGCGACTCGGACAGTCACATCTACTCTGACTGCTTGAACAGCGCTTTCTATCCTCTGTGAAAGATAGAGAAGCACACAGGCTCCAGGTTCTTCATCTCTTTTCATGCTTTTCATTTAGTGTGTCATTTGATATTAAAGGGGTCATTTGATGCGATTTCAATTTTTCCTTTCTCTTTGGAGTGTTACAAGCTCTTGGTGCATAAAGAAGATCTGTAAAGTTGCAAAGACTAAAGTCTCAAATCCAAAGAGATATTCTTTATAAAAGTTAAGAGTCAACCACGCCTACCTAAAACGACTCGTTCTAACACCCCCCCACATGTCTACGTCACTATGTGGGAAGATTTGCATAACACCGCCCAAATGTTCACGCAAAGAAAGAAGACGTAACTTTTATTCTCGCTGTAGTATTGTTGACGCTGCAGCCATGTCGTGAAGACGCTGTGTGCTTCGTTGTGAAAGCGAAACTACTTTGTTTGGTCTTCCAAAAGAGGACGATATCCGCTTCATCATGCCTAGAGCTGATCCGTGCTGGTAGCTGAGGAAATACATCAACTTCGGGCTGTGGATCACCGGATCGGCTTTCACCGTGGACGAAGCGGAGTCCAGCCCGGGATCGTCACATGTGGTTGCCGCAAGCCCTCCGGACGCTCCTCCGTCGAATCCGCTGGCCGCCCCATTCTCTAGCCCAGTGTTTCCCAACCTTTTTTTAGTCGCGGCTATATAATAGATGCTTTTTTGAACATTTTAGCAATTTAAAAATATTAAAAAAGGATTTTTTACACGGCACTCCTGCTCTCGACAGACGGCACCCTGGTTGGGAAACACTGATCTAGCCCGCCGGCCGCCGCTCACTCAATGTATGACGCTGTGTGTTTCGTTGTGAAAGCGAAACTACTTTGTTTGGTCTTCCAAAAGAGGACACAACTAGAAATCAGTGGTTAAGTTGTATTTACAACACTGTTCCAGAACAGTTCAACCCAAATATTCAGATGTGTGCAGCACATTTTATGGAGGACCGTTTCCTGATCCTGGTAGAGTAGACTACAATGCCGGCTGTTCTGACTCACAGAAGTAAGTTTTTTATATTTAAAGAATTTGCCACAGACGATTCAAACG